AAATAAAATGCGTCGTCGATAATTTTAGCACGATTGAGAACATGTATTTTTGTATATTCATTAGAATTCAAATATTTTGCAATTCTTTGCCAATTTTCGGGATCATAATTAACACGGTAGTATCCTGTTGTAAATAATGTTTTTATATATTATTAAATTTTATCTAATTGGGGAAATCTAATTTTATTAAAAAATATTTATGACCATTTGTATTTTAAATATTGAGATTAATTCCGATTATTAAGTAAGACATAGAATTAAGCTATGTAAGTAATTGTGAATCAATTCAAATTTATTTTAATTTAAATAATAATCAAAGAATATGCAGAATTGAATTTATCTCATGTTCATCAATATCAGAATGCAGAAAATTTCATTCAATATTTTTTGAAAAATTATATAATGTTACTATATGTTTACTTATATAATGCATGCTCTTATTTAAAAAAGATAAAAACGAAAATATTCAACAGTTTAAAACTTTAATTATGTAAAATATAATAAAAATATATTTTCATCGATATTCTCACCAGCTTGTTGTAGATTGAATATCACCCAACCAGTTTCATATATAATAACTTGTTTAGATTGTTTTCTGTGTTATTAATTGCATTGAGAAATTTTATATTCAGTATGTAACTTCCACGTGGTAATTCAACATTGAAATAAAAAACGCAAGTTTGTGTTGCAGCATCATATACATAATACTTCACTAAATATTTAACAAGCATAGTATCCTTTTTCATTAAATCAGAGTTTAAATGCAATATTGATTTCAATGAATTTAATCTTATTCTTGTAGTTGGGTGAAGAATATCGATAGCAACTTTCAATTCGCCATAGAAGACGATGCTACCTTTTACTTGATACTTTTCTATATCTGTTTTATAGGATTCAAATATTTCATCTCTTTCTTGATCTTCTTTAAAATGTGGTATTAGCTTGACATCGTAATGCACCGGCACAACATTATAAAAATGATAATTCAATGCAATCAAGGATCTTGTCCGATTTTCATCGACAAGAGAAGCTATCGCGGTGATAAATATGAGACCGCCATAAAATAACAGTCTTACAAATGCCATATCAATATTTTGGTATCTGTAGTAACTTTCTCTGTTGAAAGAAAGACAAACATAAAATAAAATTTAGACAATAGAATTTGCAGTAAACAAATCTATAAAGTGCTAACTTTCTTAAAAGAATTAGTTTTTTTGAATAATTAATTATGTCATCCATCATGAATATCTCTGTGATAAATCGACCAAAATTATATAATTTAGAAATATATATATAGTTTTAT